CGATAGATGGGGGGCAAGCAATTCACATATGGTGTCCAGGGCAGAACTGGGGGCTGAGGGGGGTCTGTAGCAAGCGGCAACAGTGAGAGACTTATTTCTGGAAAGGTGGATTTTTAGAAGTAGAAGCTCAAACTGTTTGGGCACAGACCTGGATAGTATGATAGAGCTCTGCAGGCTATCTCTACGGTAGATTGCAACTCCGCCCCCTTTGGCAGTTCTATCTAGACGGAAAATGTTGTAGTTAGGAATGGACATTTCTGAATTTTTGGTGGCCTTCCTAAGCCAAGATTCAGACACTGCTAGAACATCAGGGTTGGCAGAGTGTGCTAACGCAGTTAATAACTCAAACTTGGGGAGGAGACTTCTGATGTTAACATGCAAGAAACAAAGGCTTTTACGGTTACAGAAGTCAACAAATGATAGCGCCTGGGTGATAGGAGTGATACTGGGGGCTACAGGGCCTGGGTTAACCTCTACATCACCAGAGGAACAGAGGATGAATGGAATAAGGATACGGCTAAAGGCTTTAAGAACTGGTCTTCTAGTGTGTTGGGTACAGAGAAAGGGGGCAGATTTCCAGGCGTTGTAGAATAGATTCAAGGCATTATGTACAGACAAGGATATGGAAGGATATGAGTACAGTGGAGGTACACCTAAGCAGTGGGTAACTATGAAAGAGATAGCATCACTGGAGGTACCGATTGAGCCGGTTTCCGTGTGTATGGAGGGTGGGACAAAGGAGCTCTCTGAGGCTGGTTGAGCTGAACTTGGGGCTCTACAGTGAAATTGTATAATAAGAACTAACCCAAACAGCAATAGGCTAGGCATATTGACATGGGAGAGAGGCATAACGCAATCACAGGTGTTATTCGAGAGGGCTAAGACAACAACTGGTAATGGCGACGAAAGTTTGGGCTGAGGCTAAACAGATAAACAGGATGGGGTACCGTGTAAAGGAACAGTCCAGCAGGGATTAGCTGTGTAGCTGAGTGATCATAAGGTCCAGTGAACAGCACTAAGTAAGTCCGGGAGCAGATCGTAGGCTGCTAAAGCACAGGCGAGCAGGAGGCATGGCTGTTGATTGCGCGTGCTAGCGGGCCGGGGCTAGCAGATGGATCTTCGTGTTCGTCGCAACGGGAAGCCTGTTAAAACCACATGAGACGTAGTGTATGGGTCGCTCAGGTGGGTGTCTAGGGTATATGGTTGGGGACCGTTCAATCATGATAGGACAAGAAATAACTAAACTATATAATTTATTTCAAAATGTATATCCCATATCTGCACAAAATTGAAAGCTCTCTCACACAACCCCTGCTCACAGATACACTTGGGCTCTGGTATTCGCAACCATTTCCTTTTTCACTTAGTTAACACCACACTTTTCAAAACACAAAAACACACACCCCACCTTCCATCACAATACATCCGCACATACTGTACTTTCTAGGTGCTCTGTTTGCTGTGTTTTTAACCCTACCGTGTTGATTCTGAGTACTGTTCTGTTCCAGTTCCTTATATTTGAAGATGTATTATTTAGCTAATTATCCTTTCTTCTAATGCTGTCTTATCTATTTATAAAATACTATAAAAAGAAAGCTGAATACTAATTATTTTACAACATTCCCTGTCTTGAATGGTACAGTGTAGTTGTAGTTTATTTCTTTATCAATTGTAGTATTTGATTGTTTTCCTATATATGTTTTTTTATTACAATCTCTACCATGGATAGTATTGGGTGTTCCATTATTCGACTCCTCTATGGGAACTTTGTAATATTTAGAATAGCCATGGAGTGGTCTTGGTGTCTCGGAACATTTGGTTATCAAGATACAGTTTATCGACTATGAGAGCTACACATTTCCCTTTTAATCAATTCTCCTTAAAGTGTGGGTACAGAACTTTGTGCCGTTCTGCAATTTAATTTGGGAACTGATCATTAATTCCTATTTTCGTGCCAGCGAGTCTTTCACCCAGGCTTTTAACCATTATTTTATCTTTAAATCATGCAAATTTGGAAACGATTGGGCGCTCGTATCTCTGTCCTATATGGATTACACGTTCGAGTTGGATTTTGTCGACAACATCGCCTGGGATCTGTATCGCTGTATGAAATAATTATTTCACCACAATTTCAGGACTTTCGCCTTCTTTTTATTGGATACCAGATTTTCTCTTATAGATCTAGTCTGTATATCAAGTAACATTTACATTTTAGTCATTTAGCAGACGCTCTTATCCAGAGCGACTTACATGAGCAATTAGGGTTAAGTGCCTTGCTCAAGGGCACATCGACAGATTTTTCACCTAGTCGGCGCGGGGATTAGAACCAGCGACCTTTCGGTTACTGGCACAACGCTCTTAACCACTAAGCTACCTGCCGCCCCAAAAGTAAGGCTTCTTTCAGAAACATGTTCTCCTTTTCAAGTTCCTTAGCGTCTGTTTCGATCGTATTGACTGCACCTTTTCGCTTGTCTGTTTCTTTCTCCATTGTCGCAGCTTTTTCGTCACTCATCTTGAGGCTCTCCTTTATATCTTTACTGACTAATTCAAGTTTATCATTTATCGACTTTAACAAATCGGTTTCCACCCTTACCATTCCGGGTGGTGAAAAACATAAATCGTCTGGAGTCACGTTTTCTTTTGGGGATTGGTTCTCCGTGTTTACTCTCCGTCATGTTTGGTTGTTGTTTGTTTTGGTAATATTAGTCAATACATTTGTCTTATAATTTTTTTGCGTAGTTATCCAGATTGAAGGTTGTTACCCCCGAGTATGTGGACTGAAGTGCTAATATACACTACCAGTCAAAAGTTTGGACACACCTAGTCATTCAAGAGTTTTTCTTTATTTTTACAATTTTTTACATTGTAGAATAATAGTGAAGACATCAAAACTATGAAATAACACATATGGAATCATGTTGTAACCAAAAAAGTGTTAAACAAATCAAAAAAAATAAAAATAATTGAGATTCTTCAAATAGCCACCCTTTGCCCTGATGACAGCTTGGCACACTCTTGGCATTCTACCCCGCTAGGTCATTAGCATAATGGCTGAGTTCGCACAAGGAAGACCACGAAATGTGTTCTCTTTTACACAGCTACCTGACGCTGAGATTTAAGATATTTAGCAGATATATTAATATATTTATCCTAAAATAAGAGACGCTTATGAGGAAAGAAATAATAGACAATCGTGTGTATTGTATACATACCGTGTATTTCTTCCTAACTTTCATAGGGAGTCATAGGCCTATTTGAGTCATGTTATATTTTTACAGTGGTCGTATGCGAATACCCATACTTGCATTCTAAATAGTAGGCATTTTAGGTATGTGAAAATATAACGTTTTATATGAGAAATTTGGAAAATCAAGTATTCTTTAAATGCCAGGATGTTATACTAATTTTGGCTATAATTCGCTGCACACTTTTGAGGAAGGACGCACTGTACCCAAATGAACAGTGAGCATAGTATGTTGATATTTGTTGCTTACTGCATACATTTGTTGTAAACAGTACGTTTCTGAATATTATATAGTAGGATTAGTAGTACACATTATGTTGTTTTATTAAGTAGTAGGCAATAAAGATTTCATTAAAATGGTGGAAGCGCTGTCCCATTCTAACATTGCCTTTTGGCCACTAGAGGCCTCTATCATTCTCTATGGGTGGGACAGATTGAGGCGTTTTGGCTAGTAGGGATACAGTTTATGTCAGAATTGACCAGGATTGACTTTTCTTAGCAGGTTAGGATACATTATTCCACAGGTTAGTATACTTAACGTAGTAGGTTGGGAAAATTAACAAAAAATTTACTTTTGACTTCAATTGAACATAAACTGTATAAAAATAAACGGGGGCGGATTGCTGGCCTAGGCATAACACAATTTCCTAAAAGAGGACCGACACGAAAAAGACAAAGAAATAACCTAATTACATATTCACTATAATTATGCTACATTGCTGGGTTAAATTGTTATTTTATTTAATTTTTTATATTTTAAAAAACAAAAATATTTAACTTTACTGCTTTTCACAATTGTATTCGGCACAAAATGCTTTACAGAATATCATTATAATGTTTATTTAAATCCCCAACACAGCAGGCCAACAGTAGGCCTACTCTACTTTTGTGTTTAAACGTTTTAATATAATGGTATTTACTCTTCTTATTTACAGATTGATATGGGACCAGACCAGTCCTCTTCAGGATTGTGAGACCTCCTCTCTGAGAGTTATAATGAGTTATCATCAGATTGATATGGGACCAGACCAGTCCTCTTCAGGATTGTGAGACCTCCTCTCTGAGAGTTATAATGAGTTATCATCAGATTGATATGGGACCAGACCAGTCCTCTTCAGGATTGTGAGGCCTCCTCTCTGAGAGTTATAATGAGTTATCATCAGATTGATATGGGACCAGACCAGACCTCTTCAGGATTGTGAGGCCTCCTCTCTGAGAGTTATAATGAGTTATCATCAGATTGATATGGGACCAGACCAGTCCTCTTCAGGATTGTGAGACCTCCTCTCTGAGAGTTATAACGAGTTATCATCAGATTGATATGGGACCAGACCAGTCCTCTTCAGGATTGTGAGGCCTCCTCTCTGACAGTTATAATGAGTTATCATCAGATTGATATGGGACCAGACCAGTCCTCTTCAGGATTGTGAAACCACGTCTCTGAGAGTTATAATGAGTTATCATCAGATTGATATGGGACCAGACCAGTCCTCTTCAGGATTGTGAAACCACCTCTCTGAGAGTTATAATGAGTTATCATCAGATTGATATGGGACCAGACCAGTCCTCTTCAGGATTGTGAAACCACCTCTCTGAGAGTTATAACGAGTTATCATCAGATTGATATGGGACCAGACCAGTCCTCTTCAGGATTGTGAAACCACCTCTCTGAGAGTTATAATGAGTTATCATCAGATTGATATGGGACCAGACCAGTCCTCATCAAGATTGTGAGGCCTCCTCTCTGAGAGTTATAATGAGTTATCATCAGGGGGCTGAGGGTGGTGCCATCCCTAAAGAAAGACAGAAGGATGGGTCACCAAACAAGGATCTTGATGAGACCATGGACCCTGAAATGAGGTGTGTTTGTTTGCTTGTTGAATACTTTTAGATCCTATGCTACAATTTTTAAAATAGATTAACATGAAGAGGATTTTGACTAAAAATACAGCACACCTCTCAAATATATACTAATATGTTCATATGATTTCTATGAAGGATACTGAGTTACTGCTGAGTAAACAGAACATTTTATTATAGGGGAAACATAGTCAGTTGCATAACTGAATGCATTCAACTGAAATGTGTCTTTCACATTTAACCCAACCCCTCTGAATCAGAGAGGTGCGGGGGGCTGTTTTAATCAACATCAAGTCATCGGCGCCCGGGGAGCAGTTGGTGGGGGTTAACTGCCTTGCTCAAGGGCAGAACGGCAGATTTTTTTTTACCTTGCCGGCTCGGGATTCAAACCAGTGACCTTTCGGTTAAAGGCCCAACGCTCTTAACCACTAGGACACCTGCCGCCACTATAATGACACTAAGCAAGATGGGATATTTAATTGTTTTAATTCTAACCAATACATTTGGTGTAAATGACTGTGAAGACAAATCAAGGGCCAGTGGTAGTTCAAATGAAATGTTATTTGTCACATGCGCCGAATACAACTGGTGTAGACTTTACCGTGAAATGTTTGCTTACGAGCCCTTCCCAAGGATACAGAGTTTAAAAATAAACAGGTCAGGGACAAAGTTGTGGAGAAGTACAGATCAGGGTTGGGTTATGAAAAAATATCAGAAACTTTGAACATCCCACGGAGCACCATTAAATCCATTATTAAAACATTGAAAGAATATGGCACCAAAACAAACCTGCCAAGAGAGGGCCGCCCACCAAAACTCATGGACCAGGCAAGGAGGGCATTAATCAGAGAGGCAACAAAGAGACCAAAGATAACCTTGAAGGAGCTGCAAAGCTCCACAGCGAGTATCTGTCCATAGGACCACTTTAAGCCGTACACTCCACAGAGCTGGGCTTTACGGAAGAGTGGCCAGAAAAAAGCCATTGCTTTAAGAAAAAAATAAGCAAACACGTTTGGTGTTCCCCAAAGGGCATGTGGGAGACTCCCCAAACATATGGAAGAAGGTACTCTGGTCAGATGAAACCAAAATTTAGCTTTTGGCCTTCAAGGAAAACGCTATGTCTGGCGCAAACCCAACACCTCTCATCACCCCGAGAACACCATCCCCACAGTGAAGCATGGTGGTGGCAGCATCATGCTGTGGGATGTTTTTCATCGGCAGGGACTGGGAAACTGGCCAGAATTGAAGGAATGATGGATGGAGCTAAATACAGGGAAATTCTTGAGGGAAACCTGTTCAAGTCTTCCAGGGATTTGAGACTGGGACGGAGGTTCACCTTCCAGCAGGACAATGACCCTAAGCATACTGCTAAAGCAACACTCGAGTGATTTAAGGGGAACCATTTAAATGTCTTGGAATGGCCTAGTCAAAGCCCAGACCTCAATCCAATTGAGAATCTGTGGTATGACTTAAAGATTGCTGTACACCAGCGGAACACATCCAACTTGAAGGAGCTGGAGCAGTTTTGCCTTGAAGAATGGGCAAAAATCCCAGTGGCTAGATGTGCCAAGCTTAGAAGAATAGTTATGCACGCTCAAGTTTTCTGTTTTTATGTCTTATTTCTTGTTTGTTTCACAAGAAAAAATATTTTGCATCTTCAAAGTGGTAGGCATGTTGTGTAAATCAAATGATACAACCCCCCCAAAAATCCATTTTAATTCCAGGTTGTAAGGCAACAAAATAGGAAAAATGCCAAGGGGGGTGAATACTTTCGCAAGACACTATATTTGATAAATGTTATTTTCCAATTCCCAACCAGGCCAGGAGAGGTACCCTGTGATATCTGCTCTGAGGTCCAAGCTGTGAAGTTCTGTCAGACCTGCACTATCTCCTACTGTGAGACCCACATCAGACAGCACTATACAATAGCAGCACTGCAGAGACACACAGTGGTGGATGTGACTGGATACCTGGTGCAGAAACTCTGTCAACATGACTACAGTCCTCTGGAGGTGTTCTGCAGGACAGACCAGATGCTGATCTGCAGTCAGTGTGCAGAGACAAACCACAAAGGACATGATACCATCCTCCTCAAGATAAAGAAAGCTGGAAGACAGGTAGCTCCTGGTTTGTTTTCATACTCTTTATTGCATGATGTACAGTGTTTGTTTGATAAAGATAAAGGTTTATGTGTCAAGAGCAAAATAACATGTTTCACAGAAATGATTGACTCTTTCTTTGGTTTTCACAGCCTAAGAGTTTTGATGGAGACCAACACACAACTCTGGCCTCAGATGATGGTAGGTATATGTGGAAACACAGAATAAACTGACCCAAAAAATATTATTTAATTTAAGTCTCAATTTAGGCGCATTCATTTAGTAAGATATCAATTGGTGTCCCTTAACTGCTGTGATGAATAATACACATTTGTGTTTGTAATTTTATTGTCAATAAAGTCTGTTTTTCTGTCATTATTCCTTCACCAGTGCTGCCCCCTCCTGGTGACATCCAGGTCCTGTTGCTGACGTCAAACTCTGTGTATCTGAGCTGGAGTTCTCCTCAGGGGGTTAAAGGACCACACAAGTTCAGAGTGACCTGGGAATGTGACGGGGAAACAAGCTCATCAAGAGTGAAAGGTGTATATCGTCTTTAGTATTCTCTGCATGGAGGTTTGTTCCTGGGCTGCAGTAGGATATGAGGAAGCGCTGTGGGACTTTCTTCATTCCTTCAGCCTTGGACCAGTGGAGAGTGAAGGAGGTATCGTTCAAATGGTCTACCTTTAAGTCTCTGGGTGGGACCACTGGAACATAAAACAATATTTGTTTTAAGAAGATCCATAACAATACCTCTCTTAAAACACAACAAAGTATGTCAGTAAAACATGACTAAAACCAAACTCTTTACCTGTGGATAGGGATGCTGAGACACATCTGCTTTGGCTTCCATCTTCTCCCTCTGTAGCCACGTTGAACTGGTACTTTTCACCAGGTTGCAGACTGCTTATTTTAAGATGATGCCCACCTTTCACTCTTGTTGAGCTTGTTTCACCGTCACACCCCCAGGTCACTCTGAATGACGGTGGTCCTGTCAGCCCCTGAGGAGAACCCCAGCTCAGAGACACTGAGTCTGACGTCAGCAACAGGACCTGGATGTCACCAGGAGGGGGCAGCACTGGTGAAGGAATAATGAGAGAGAAAAACAGACTTTATTGAAAATAAAATTACATAAACAAATGTGTATTATTCATCACAGCAGTTAAGGGACAACAATTGATATCTTACTAAATGTATCCTCTTAAATTGAGATTTAAATTAAATAATATTGTTTGGGTCAGTTTATTCCGTGTTTCCACATATACCTACCATCATCTGAGGCCAGCATTGTGTGCTGGTCGCCATCACAACTCTTAAAGTGTGAGAACAAAATATGAAATTAGTAATTTCTTTAAAAACACAGAAATTGTTACTTTGCTAAATGTACAACAGATATTTTAAAATCAAGATACCTGTATGTCAAAAGCAGCTAATGTAACTGCAAAAATAAAGGAAACACTTGAGTAAATGAGGGATACAAAGTGTATTGAAAGCAGGTGCTTCCTTAGAGGTGTGGTTCCTGAGTGAATTAAGCAATTAAAACGTCCCATCATGCTTAGGGTCATGTATAAAAATGCCCAGGTGCCCATTATTTTGGCTACCATGCCTAGAAGAGATCTCAGTGACTTTGAAAGAGGGGTCTCAACGGAGCATAGGAGATTTAAAGGGTGTGTGTCTGTCGCCAGATCTCAAACAAATGGAACACTTATAGGAGACTCTGGAGCCGCGCCTGAGGCAGCGTTTTCCATTACAAATCAACAAAACACTAAATTATGGAAATTCTTGTGGAAGAACTCCAATAGAGTTCCAGACCATTGTAGAATCTATGTCAAGGTGCATTGAAGCTGTTCTGGCAGCTCGTTGGGGCTCAACTCCCTATTAAGACACTTTATTTTGGCAGATACCTGTATATTCCTTCACAGCTTTCTGACTTATACGGGCACTGAAGTAACAGGGTTGACATGTTATGCTCAGTTTTCCACCACAAAACACCAGAAAATGGCCAAAATAGTAGAGTTCACCTGCTTTGACACAAGGATTTGACTTTAATGTTTTTCCCCCAAAAATAAATAATATATATATATATATATATATATATATATATATATATATATATATATATATATATACACACACACACACACAGTTGAAGTCGGAAGTTTACATACACTTAGGTTGGAGACATTAAAAAACTCATTTTTCAACCACTCCACAAATTTCTTGTTAACAAACTATAGTTTTGGCAAGTCGGTTAGGACATCTACTTTGTGCATGACACAAGTAATTTTTCCAACAATTGTTTACAGACAGATTATTTCACTTATAATTCACTGTATCACAATTCCAGTGGGTCAGAAGTTTACATACACTAAGTTGACTGTGCCTTTAAACAGCTTGGAAAATTCCAGAAAATGATGTCATGGCTTTAGAATCTTCTGATAGGCTAATTGACATCATTTGAGTCATTTGGAGGTGTATCTGTGGATGTATTTCAAGGCCTACCTTCAAACTCAGTGCCTCTTTGCTTGAAATCATGGGAAAATCAAAAGAAATCAGCCAAGACCTCCACAAGTATGGTTCATCCTTGGGAGTAATTTCCAAACGCCTGAAGGTACCACGTTCATCTGTACAAACAATAGGATGCAAGTATAAACACCATGGGACCACGCAGCCGTCATACCGCTCAGGAAGGAGAAGCATTCTGTCTCCTAGAGATGAACGTACTTTGGTGTGAAAAGTGCAAATCAATCCCAGAACAACAGCAAAGGACCTTGTGAAGATGCTGGAGGAAACAGGTACAAAAGTATCTATATCCACAGTAAAACTACTCCTATATCGACATAACCTGAAAGGCCACTCAGCAAGGAAGAAGCCACTGCTCCAAAACCGCCATAAAAAACCCAAACTACGGTTTGCAACTGCACATGGGGACAAAGATCGTAATTTTTGGAGAAATGTCCTCTGGTCTGATTAAACAAAAATAGAACTGTTTGGCCATAATGACCATCGTTATGTTTGGAGGAAAAAGGATGTGCTTGCAAGCCGAAGAACACCATCCCAACCGTGAAGCACGGGGGTGGCAACATCATGCTGTGGCGGTGCTTTGATGCAGGAGGGACTGGTGCACTTCACAAAATAGATGGCATCATGAGGAAGGAAAATTATGTGGGTATATTGAAGCAACATCTCAAGACATCAGTCAGGAAGTTAAAGCTTGGTCGCAAATGGGTCTTCCAAATGGACAATGACCCCAAGCATACTTCTAAAGTTGTGGCAAAATGGCTTAAGGACAACAAAGTCAAGGTATTGGAGTGGCCATTACAAAGCCCTGACCTCAATCCTATAGAACATTTGTGGGCAGAACTGAAAAAGCGTGTGCGAGCAACGAGGCCTACAAACCTTACTCAGTTACACCAGCTCTGTCTGGAGGAATGGGCCAAAATTCACCCAACTTATTGTGGTAAGCTTGTGGAAGGCTACCCGAAACGTTTGACCCAAGTTAAACAATTTAAAGGCAATGCTACCAAATACTAATTGAGTGTATGTAAACTTCTGACCCACTGGGAATGTGATGAAATAAATAAATGCTGAAATAAATCACTCTACTATTATTCTGACATTTCACATTCTTAAAATAAAGTCTTGATCCTAACTGACCTAAGACAGGGAATTTTTACTAGGATTAAATGTCAGGAATTGTGAAAAACTGAGTTTAAATGTATTTGGCAAAGGTGTATGAAAACTTCCGACTAAAACTGTTGGCCCTAACAGTTTGTGGGCACCGTTTGTCACCGTTATAGTGCAATTAATGTATTGTTTAGTGATGTGTTGTGTAGTGGCTTTGCTGGCATGCGTCAACATTTTATACTTTTTCTTTCCAAACCCCCCCCCACCCCCCCAAAACCAAACAGAATTTCTGTTTAATGAAAATAAAATGTGTATCCTTGCCGAAGGTAACAGACATATTTGGGAAACTGAACGAACTGAACACAAGCATCCAGGGGAAATACAATAACATTATACAGGTGAGTGTAGTGAGTGACTGAATCATCTCCAATAAGAATTCTTATTGGAGAGAGTCTTTCAAAAGCGAACCATGCCCCCTTCCCTCGGCTGTGCATTTTTGTAACAAAAAACAGCATCAGTAAGTGTCCCACACGAGTGATGACTGCTCACCTCCAACGCTTGGAAGAGCACTTTGGGACCTACTTCCCAATCCATTTTACTGTGATCCTGGCTCATTTGACAGACAATGCATTCACGGGTCAATGTATCATTGGATGACTGTCAACAAGATGCATACCCAGCATTGTTAAAATAACAGTTTTAATTCAATCTGAACATACCAGTTCATGCCCTAAAAGAAGACTAGGTTCAAATGTAGTCCATGAAGAGGTAGGCCAATTAGAATTATGTCCACAGCTATTCTGCCGTACTATTGCAATAACTACTACAGCAATAATAACTACAGCAGTAACTACTGTTCACAGCTTTGTAGTATCTTGTTTATCTTGTGACAAAGTGTCCTGGTTCTAATATATTCAGTTTCAAAGAAAATGGAGTGTCAAATTGGCAGTTCTACAAAATACAAGAAAAACCAAGGCAAACAGCAGTCAGTGAAGTTACTGCATTCTGGCTTTGTTCCACCTTGTTTTGACTGCAGTTACTGCGGTTTGCCTTGGTATTCTATCAGGCTCTGAGTTCAGCCCATCCCGATCATGACACACACCCGCACACACACCATGAGACAGCCAGCGATCCAGTTATCACCGGAATAAAGATGGCACATTCCCACAGGAAAATTATGGTTGAACTTTGAAATGTAAATACCCAGATAATGTTAAGATAGCAAACAAAGTATGTAAAAGTTAGCTAACATAAAGCAACTGACAGCATTATAACTACATGTATACAGTCAAATATTTCTGAAGTATAAACATTCTCCATGATTAAATAGTTCTTACCTTATATATATATATATATATATATATATATAAAAACTGTGTGAGGGTTACTTCAATACAACATTCAAAACATGAAAACAAAGCTACTGTCAAGGGGTGCTGAAGGTGGGTGTGGTGCAGGAATCAAGCGCAGGACGCAGAAACTAAGTCCAAAAGACTTTAGTGAAATATACACGTAGTACACGAGCAAACAAGCCCGGAGGCGAAGTAAAGGCGCACACAGGCGTCAAAACAATAGGCGCACTAACATGTGCGAAAACCTCTCCAAAACAACGGAGGGAAACACGTAGCTCAGAACACCAAACAGAAGAGCAATCACACACAACACCTGACACACACAACGAGAACTAAATAGGACACTAATGAGGACTAACTAGACACAGGTGTACAACAACAAGACACAACCAAACGAACATGAAACATAGATCGGTGGTAGCTAGTACTCCGGGGACGACGACCTGCCCGAACAAGGAGGAGGAGCAGCCTCGGCCGAAACCGTGACAGCTACATAAAACCATTAAATACATCTATAATGTAGTTAGAACACTCAAACTGTTTCCATCAAACAGAAAAACAACAACAAAGTTGGATTAACACATTTAGATTTTAGATCTTGCATTTTGCGTTTACCCATATAGTTGTTTAAGGCAGAGTGCAAACAGTTTGTGAGCTCTGCAAATAATCTTTCCACTCCGAGAATGAGAACGGTACGCTAAATTGCTGTAATGAATACATGCATGAACATAAATTGTAACCAAATGACAGGGTATTAACGGTGTATTTACTAGGCCTACTGGTGACATACGTAATTGGGAATTTATAAAAAATAAACAAAGGGCAAACAATTCACACAATTAAACAATGAACGCTCAAGAATTGTCGGGAGACAGCTGAGTGCATTCTGGAGAGCTGCTGAAGTGCATTCTGGAGAGAGACATGCCATATCTCCCCCACAAACCCCTCCCCTTCTTCTTGTTGCAACATTTTCAATTATACTCAAGACACATTATCTTCACACATATTTTTTATGCTTTGCACTGACAGGCGCAACTCAATAAGGTAGTCCTATTGCCACGCACGCTTCCCAAATTGCGGGCTTCCCAAATAGGCCTTGGCCTAGGCGCTTGTGATTTGTAACAATCCACAGCAAACATTTTTTTAAAATAAGCTAATGATACTCTGTGGCGAAGTCATGCTCTCTGGTGAAGTATTTTGAATGATTTTATTTAGGCTGCCGTAATTGTATAATTTTGGTACAGTGTGCACCCGGCAACTTTCCCTTCCAATTCGCAAGAGGCTGAAACCAGAGATCTGTTTATAATGACATGATACTCATGTCTCTGCCCTA